CTTTCTCTCTTCAATTATGACATAGTTCGTGTCACATAATAGTAGCTTACGAGTGCTTTTTTACTAATGTTTGAAAAATGTTCCCTTTTTATGGTTGTTACAGAAAACCTCCAATGGTTTTGACATTTTTATGACAATTTTTAATATCATATGTGGTTTGATTGACAGAAAATGAATATATTATTTTTTTAATTTTTTTTTTCAATAATAACATTAATTGATATTTTCTGACGTAATTTTCCTGCGCATGCTAGATCTAGGTCTATGCAGTTAGATCTAGATATACATGCTGGACTAACTACGATAGAGTGTATTTTCTCGTCTGACCACTCAACACACAACAAATACTTTAATTTGGTTGTCTTGTCATGACCGACTACACCTACAGCCTCACACTGACCAATTTGTTAGAATCAGTCAGACACACGATCTATTTACTTTTTGGGACATGGGGGGGGAGGGTGTAGATGAAAATGTTGGTATTTTTTTTTCACGAGGTAGTTATCCTAATTCTTAACTATATATCTTATAACTTTTGTATACCTATGGTAAGCTTAAAAAAAAAAAAAAAAAAAAAAAAAAAAGTACAGTTCCCCTTTCAGACCTTATGTTCTATAGGGCAGATGATGTAAAGGTCATCTGTTTCTGTGGCCAACGGTTAACAAGGGTGTCATGTGGCCAGCACAACGACCAACCGCCTTTTTCCCTAACTAATGTCAGGCACCCATTAGAGCTGGGTGGACTCAGAGGCGCCCGAAGATCCCGAAATTAAAAATCCCAGTCTTCACCAAGATTCGAACCCCGGTCCCCGGTTCGGAAGCCAAGCGCTGTACCGCTCAGCCACCGCGCCTCCTACTAAGCTTAAAAGCCAGTGTAAAAACGAAACGATGGGTTAGCTCTAGATTCGCTTTCAGTATTGTTGAGGAAAGTAATGTATGCCTAACCTAAAAACAAAATCTTAAAGAACTCCGGTTTTTTTTTAACTCAGAATTTATAATCTAATCAATTAAATATAAATTTTTCTAAGCATTTAAATTTAAAAAAAACAACGTTACAATGTTAACTAATACAACTTTTTACGCAGAAATCAAATATGTCAAGAACTCAATTTTAAAAACCATTGGCGTTTCCGTTTAACATGCTAGGGTCACAATAGGGTCTGTTTGGCGGAACGGAAGCCGTTAAATGTGTTGTTTTGTTGGTAAAGAGGGATGAACTTCTCATCATAGATAAAACTAAAATAATGAGTTACTCTTCTTAGAGAGTTATTAACATATGTTGTGACATGTGATAACGTTTCAGATATTACATTTATTTTGGTATGATTAATGCAAATAACACTAAAATTTCTCTTTGACAGTACGGTTGACTGAGTCGGTTATTCACTCTGGGGAGGTTTGTGAAGGGCTCGCTAGTAAGGCATCAATTAAGGGAGTTAACATGAAAAAGTTTTTACGGAATTTTCCCGTAAAAATATTGTTGCTTCCCTTAGTTTAACAAACCTAAATTTAAAAAAAAGAAGAAATTAGAAAGTCCACACCTGTTTAAAGCAAGCTTTATTTATCAGTTTTTTTTATTCTTTTTTTCACTGTGCAAAGCTTAAACTCTATACATCACAAGAACAACATGCCTTGCAGTAATTTTAAAGGGCGGTATGTGACCCTCTAAATTCATCGAAGATCTCCACAATTAAAAATTCATTTTCCAGTTTATAAATGATCTATACAAATTCTACATTCCGGCAGTTTCAAATATCCGATATCATATATATATATAATTCTCTTCTTCTCTAAACAGGTCAAACAAGAAGTAAAGGAAAGATCACTCTCTTATTTCTGAGGATAGTCACCCCACGAAAAAAAACAAAGAGGGTGGGTGGGGGGGGGGGGGGGGAGAGAACACGTTTTCACAGCTCGCTACGGATGGCTGCGCCTTGGACTGTCAAACCCTGCCCTCTCCCATCCTATGCGGGAGGTTTGGACTAGGAAGTAAACTATCGTCAACTCTGAAGGAACATCCGAAACATGTAAAACATTTTACAAACACTAAATAGCAGGGCGGACTTAAGCATTGTGGGGCCCTATTCGAAACGGATTTCGCGGGGCCAAGTTTGGGTAGTGAAGCGGACAATAAGTGAAATTTAAGAGTTTGTATTCGAAAATAAATTCGTCTATGCATTTTATTCATTCTTTACTACGTAGAGAATTACTTTACGAGCCATGCGTGTAGCAAAGTAATACAGTACGTCATAATAACTGTTTCCCACATAGATCCCGCTCAATAGTAAGAATTACCAAATGTTTCAATCTATCTTTGAGAATTGTTGACCTCAAGTAATTCTTCATTAGTTTGAGGCGCGAGAAGCTTCTTTCACCTGATTACACAATTAAGGCTAATGCATAATGCCGTTTTTATTAATAGCGCGTAGCATTGACACTTTCCATATTGAATGACACCCCAAAATGACAATTTTTTTCTATGTATTTCCGTATATTTTAAGGACTTTTTCGTATATTTTGCAATTTCGGGAGATTTCCCTGGTAAATCGACAGGAGTGCGCGGGAAATATGTTTTAAGTCATAAAATGGTTTAATTTAATAAGTTATACACCTTGAATTAGCGCGGGTTCCATGAAAGTGCGGATCCTTCGGTCACAAGGTTGCAGTGGCCTCAGACCAGCCCTGCAAAATAGCGGCGTATGCTATGCCGCCGGTCGACTAGTTGTACATAAAACATAAAAACGAGGAACTAATCCAAATAATCTAGACATTTTTTGTCTTGTTGTGTAGTTCATATGCTCAATTATGACTTTTATTTTTCCTTAACAAATTAAATTTAAAAAAAACAAACGATTGTTTAGAGGAACTATTTCAGTTTAGCTATTGACTTTCAGTCATTGACACAAGCCTATTAGTCAAATAAAGTCGTGTTTGTAACTGGTTCTGTAACAGAAAAAAAAGTTTAGCTTTATTGATGTTTTAAAATTAACACGGAATATTTTAATTTAAACACTTTCTACTATTCCATACACTTTCTTTACCGATAGTAGTGTTTTAAAATATATATATATATATGGGAAAGGGTGGGAGGTGAACTCGCAATTACAAATTGAATCATTTATCTCAATCTAAAGTTTTGCACTTAGAAGTATGGTTGGCTAGTGTTGTGGGTAGTACGTGTCTCAAAAAGCCATGAATGTTGTTGGTGCCAGCCTCATACAGGCCAAGTTGTTGTTCTCCTTTTTTTTTTCTTTTTTCAATGACAAAAAAAAAACGGTTTTGTTTACTAAATCATTGGGACACAAAGTCAGAATGGATTTTTTATTATATTAATTTTTATTTTGTCCACTTTTCAGGACTGTTTGGGAAAACCCTTTTTCGAACACATATTTCCTCTGGCTAGACGGCGGCTACTCTCATGGACAAAACGTATTCCCCAAAGACAACATTTGGATTCCGAAGGATCTCTTTGAGCACGCGACTCAGGTCACGTTCATGGAGAGAGCTCCAGGTGTGAAAGTGTTTCAGAAGGACAGGGACAGGCTCCACAAGATGTCAATCAACGTGCTGGCTGGGAACTTTTTCGCCGGCGGCAGCGAGGCTCTGAAGGAGCTCTGTGAGATGCAGAGACAATTAGTGGACGAGTGGATGACGCTAGGGATTGTGGATGACGATCAGACGATGTACATGTGGATGTTCTACAAGAAACCTTCTTTGTTTCACCTGGTCTCGGCCGACTGGGAAGACGTTTTTAAATTGTTTAATAAAAACAGCGATCTGAGTTGAAAGCTTCGAAGAAATGCAGCTAGTGTGATTTCATTGTTGGAATACGATCATTTTCAATCAATAGGTGCTGAAGACATAACAGAATTAATTTAATTTGGACTGGTTTGATTTTTTGTTCAAACTTGTAGACTAAATGTTGAAACTCACTGGGCCTGCTTTTTCTCATGATGCTTACTGACCATCAACATTCGTTGTATTATTTCTATTTCAGATCATGCAATGATCATTTCTTTTTTTTATATAATTGTATTTCATATGTATAAGAAGTTTATTTATAATTAATTAAAGTTAATTTGTTTCAATCAAAAGGATCAATTTAATGTAATTTTTAGACAAAAATGAAAAGCTTAATTAAAAGATGCTATTTTATTAAGGACGATATGTAATCATTCTAATTGAGAGTCTAATTAACAGAAACGAATTGTATTGGAGGCATTTCCATTTTTAAAAATGTTGAAAATGTCAAAGAATATTTTTATGCTTTGAAATTGGTCTAATTCTTAAGCGCTAATTTAATGTTTGCCTACATAAATACAAATGTAGCGTATGTGTTGTTGTTTTTTAATCAGAATTTCCTTTCCATGCAGGAACAATTTTGCTGTTTGTTCGTTGTTGTTAAAAAAAGTTTCCAAATGAAATGACAAAGCTGAATATAAACGCAGCATGTCATCGAGAGCATGTCTCTAATGTCTCGGTGGGTCCGTCCATCACACGGTGGGTCCGTCCATCACACGTGGCTTTCCTTTCCTTGCAATGTTTCCCAACCTTCCTGTCCCTAGGTTCATATTTTATTATTGCCTCATTTGGTTAACAAAAGGACATGTGTTCTACATGATTGCATTTTATAACATTATGTTCACATGCGCATCATTCTTCTTCTAGTTTCAACTGTCATCGAGATGTATACACATGAAAACAAAAAGAGCTCAAAATGTTTTATTGAAGTTACCTAAAACTAATGACTCTTTTGAAGGTTGAAGTTTCTTATTTATATATAGGCCAAAACCTGGTTATTGATTATTTATCGGTTGACTCTTAGTCATTAGCTATATATAGGCCAACAACTAGTCATTTTTTTTTTATTTCTTATAGTTGAAACTCGGTCAATGTTTTGATAAGTAGATATATTTAAAAGTCGACAACTGATCAATGCTTACATGGAAGTAAATATCGGGTTCGCAAGTCTAATTCAATACTTAGTTAATGATAAGCAATATATATATATATATATATATATATGGTTCCCGGCCATTTCATCCCCGGTTTTTTCATCCCTTGGTCTTTTCATCTCCCGTCACTTCATGCCCGGTCATTTCATCCCCTGGTCATTTCATTACTTTAAACCCCAAGCTTGGCTAAACCTCTCTCTCTCTCTCTTTCTCTCTCTCTCTCTCTCTCTCTCTGTTACACTTTTTAAAAATTCAGCCCTAATTTTATTTCCTCATTGGTTGTTGCTGATGATGCCTTTATGGTCACTTGAGTTTCTTAGAATTTGATCACTCAATTTTTATTGGGATAATCATTGTAACTTTTCCATTCATCAAACTGAGCTTAGGAACAATAACACTTTATGATTTTTTTTAAATTTTATGTTATTTCCAAACTACTTTGCACCTGTCTTAGTAATCTGCTAAATAACACAATAACAATAACACTTTATGATTTTTTTTTAATTTTATATAAGTGTATATCTTAATGTAATGTTTTTGTATGTACATTATATTATTTTGTCCTTCAAATAAGGACGCTAAAAAATGTGTTCCATTGATTTGTTCATTTAGTGAAGTGTCAATAGTTTTGCATAATCAATACCGAAATAATAAAGAATCCGCTTTTATGTTACTTCCAAACTACTTTGCACCTGTCTTAGTAATCTGCTAAATAGGAGGATATCGTTATAAAATAGCAGTTTTAGTTTTTAAAATCTAAACCTGATTTTGGATAGGCACTATAAATTCTATAGCGGTGGCTCTAAACGTGTGACTTTAAAATATTTGAAATAGAAATATTTAAGCAATAGAAAAACAATACTTAAGGAAGGAACTGCTAAGTACTGCCATTTATCTTAAAATTACAGGATTTATCTCCCTTTCTTCTATATAAAACAAAATTTATGTAGTACTTATTTTTTTATTGATTCGTGTATTGTTATCGACTATAAATAATTATGCAAAGTTTCAACGTGATCCGAGAATAGGAAGTGAAGTGAGAAAAAAACGTGTCAAAACGTAATAAGGGAACGAAATCCATAAATATATTTATATAAATCTGTCTCATTAAATAGCTTTTATTCCGCTTAGTTCGATATACAATAAAACAAATAATTAATCACCAACAACTAATTAACTAACCGTTTACGTTTTTGATTGATTCATGTTATGTCATATGTGCAGAGTTTTAACTTGATCCGAAAATTGGAAATGGGAGAAAAAAACATGTTCAAACTTTTTACCAGACAGACAGACGGAAAGACAAACGGACAACGTGAGTTGATATTAGTGTCGCGTAGTTATCCTAACTCTGTTTTGTATGTCCTCTACTCGTACTACTTGTACAGGGCGAGACTGTCTTGTATGTTTGTGTTTTCAATTGTTTTGTTACGTCACACAGTCCGGTGACATCTATTGGTCACTCTTTGTCATGAGGCAGTTCACCCTCTGAGTTTGGTTGGAACGGACGGTGTGTTGATCCGTAAAAGGTTATTATATCTATAGTCTGTACTAGTTTCTCGGACTTATTATTCAGTAGGATAGTTGGACCCCTGTTTAGGGTGAGTTATTCGTTTGTGATATCTCTTATTGTATGTTGAAGGAGGTTGTCACTATTTCTAGTTTTAGAGTAGAAGTTAAGTTTTGTGTTTATTTCGTTTATAGGGTGTCAGTGTTGGAGTTGTATATACTGAGCTCGAGTCTGTGCTAGTGTGGGCGTCGCTTGCCGTCTCAGAAATAGATATTACAGTTTTCAGTGTCATTCTCAAATTGGCGATCATCTGAGGTCTAACTTTACTATTACCGAGGTTGGCAGTTTTGTGACGCAAGTCGGTCAGAGTCTGATGGACTATTAAACCTGGGTCACAAGTTGATAGCAGTAGCAAAGGTGCCTAAATTAATTGTTAAATAATATCTTTATATTTATATATTATATATATATATATCTAATATATATATTGTCTATTTATCATCTTCATTGTACATACACATATATCAGTTTCATACAATTAAATTCATTTAATTTTTGTTATTTAAACTATTCACATAGTTGGTCACTCTATGTATGACTGTGTGTGAGTGATGTCTTGTCAGGTGGAACACCGGGACCTTAATTGTATACAGCTATTCTAAACCTGACAATTAGCTTTTTAAAAAGTTAAGCCACTTATCTTATCAAGATGTATGATTATTTAAAACTCGTTTGTGTGTGTCTTTATGTATAGGGTTAGGGTTTACTGGGTTAGGGTTTTGAAAAAAAAATCTCTTTTCCCACTCAAAAGTTCTGGATCCAATCGTGGTGTTAAGAAGATGGAAGCAAGGACGGTCTTAGAGCCTTTAATTAATGTGGGCCTCGCACAAATAGCGAGTCTCTTTCTCAATGGCATTGTTAGAGTACACTAGCCTTAGTAGGTTCTTAAGAAATTGCGTTATTATACATTTTTCGCTGCTTATTTACTATTACATACTCTTTTCGACTAGGGGTTCCAATTATCTAAGGCCGGCCCTTATGAAAGTTTCGTGTTGCCTGACTTGTGAAGTTTTCCAGTCTATTTCTAGTGAACAAACTATTTGAGGAAAATTTTTTAAAAATCTTATTTAAGTGTAACTGTATCAGTTAGTTTGGATCAGTCAAGTAATTAAATTTGTAATAGATGTAGACTAGGGTTCTCAACTTATGGGTCAGAACCCCTTGGGGATCGAATGACGATTCGCCACGGGTCGCCTAAGGCTATCGGACTGTCCCAACACTTTTGTGACAATGCATTTTATGTACAATAAAAATAATGCTAGTCAAGATAACATTTCATTCATCTGTATTTAAACATGAGAAATGTATATTACAAGATTATAATTAAATATTATTTCGTGATTATAAATAAAGATTTGCCAATGCATATCAGATATTTACATTTTAATTTCTTAGCTTTGTAAAAGAAAATAATTTTACGCGGGTGGGGGTGTGTCGGTCGCTCATTGTGGGGAATAGTAAAAAAGAAGTAGCCGAGTTGAAGAGGTTTGAGAGTTGCTGATCGAGACGAACATTTATACATCTGGGAAATGAGAAATATTGCCACCAATAGTTTTTGTTTTGCGCAATTTCATGGTTTTAGCTTTCTACGATCAATTCCCTTTTCTGGACCAGTGTGGAAAGATGGTGGCGATAAAAAATCGATATCTGTGTGAATGTTACCGTGATCGCTTTTTAAATGCATGAAGCTGTACGACTTCAATTCGAACTGAAGTGCTCATGACTCCACTAGGTAATATGTCCTCATTACTCCTCTAGCTAATATGTCTTCATGACTCCTCTAGCTAATATGTCCTCATGTCACATGACACATCTAGGTAATATAACTCATGACTCCTCTAGGTAATATGTCCTCATGACTCAAGACTCCTCTAGTTAATATGTCCTCATGACTTATGACTCCTCTAGGTAATAGGTCAAAGGGGAAGGGGTGGAGTTGGGGGGAGAAGAATGGAGCGGGTTAAATGTTGATCAAGTTTTCAAATATCATTACTTATGAGTTGGAGTCCACAACTTTATGCTGAGACTTCTATCACATCAGAAACTCTAAAGATCTAGGACGTATTGTACCAGTATTGTACCAGTGCTGTATGGTAAGACCCTGGCCAAGGCTTTTATGTATGTCCCTAACCTCTTTTCAAAACTTTAATTCTAATGGACCTCCTTCTTTTTATATGAATTTTACTTTGTGAAGGCTTTTCTTTGAGGTTTAATCTTAGAGTGCTTCAACTGAACTAGATCCGGCCCTGTGTTCACTTCCGCAATCTTCGGAAACGAAGCCCTTTAGAATTATCACCAGCAGTCGAGAGAAAGAAGTACAGGATAGATCCCCATGGAGAATATGTATAAAGAAAGGATCCTGGATTGCAGATGGTGTACACATTAAATGAAGGAAGTAGCTCCGAAGAAGACTAAAAACGCTGCAGCACCTTATGTTTATTTATGCCCAACGGCAACCGATGATCGCGGATGTGTATGTAGGATTGATCTCTTTAGTCACACAAGAAGTGGCAAGTGAAGTGCCACATAATTTCGAATAGGAAGAATTCCTTTAATACAAAGGCATTAGAGATAAAGTAATTCACGGTAGATCTAATAAAACGTACATCTCACATTATGAAAATTAGAAGATTATCTCACTTGGTATGATAGGATGAATGAAGTTGGCTGTCATTCAATCACCTGACCACCATGCAAACTACTTTAACTTTGTGCCAATCTTTTGCGAATAGTTTTATATCTCCAGAGGGAGAGATCCAATCCGGGCCGGTTATGTCTTCGAAGACACAGACGTGTGCATACACACACACACACACATACATTTGTCATCAAAATACACATGCACATTCACATGCAAGCACGCTTGTCGTCAGAATGCACATGAACACACACACACACAAGCACACCAACTGGAGATGTAAGTGAATGTTGAATGTAAATACCCTGAGATGTAAAGTTAGAGATGCACTACCCGCCCCCCCCCCTCCCGTCTCGCCCCTCTCCTTGACGTAAAGCTGACAGGTGAAAGTCTAGCAATAGTTTGTCAGGTACAGGTAGTCAGTCTTTCAAGGGATTCATTTTTTTTTAAAAAACCAAACGAGAAAAGAGAAAGCAAATAGTGACTGATCCTGAAGTCGTTTGAAGTTGGGGCGAGGCTGCAAAGTACAAGGGGGTGGGTACAATCTCATTGCGTGTAGTTTATATTATGTAATAATTACAAAATATCTCTTAACACAATTAATGGAGTATTTAAAAAAAAACACTAAGAAATAGCTTATAAACGCTTTGATAGTAAGCAACAGCAAATATATCCATGAAACAGGCAAATTAAAAAAATATTTTTCAAAATCTACAAAATTATCTAATAGGAAGAATCATGTTTATTTGTTCTATCCATTCCTTTTCTTTGACTTTAGTTCCATCTCCACTAGTTATATAAATACATTTCGTTTATTAATCATTGTCATAAAAACTTCATTCTAATGTTCAATTGACTTGAAAAGCTCGTGTCAGAAATGGTGGGTTACCTCTAAACACGCCAACAAAATGACATTTTCACCCTCTGTGTATGTCACGTCGTTTCATTGCTTCCGCTTTGTATATTGCCAAATACTGACGTGACACAAAATTTATATCATGTATTTTTATCAAACTCACTAACTATGGAACAAGTATTTCAAATTTAAAAGTCATTTCCAAACATGTTTTCGTAAGGATAGATTCCAAGGCCCTTTTCCTTTAACAATAGTTACAATACAATATACTATTTAAAAAAAACGCTAGTATTATTTATTTTACAAAATGAGTATCCTAGGAACATCTTCTTGCCTGTCAGAGGGCGG